TAAGCAGTTAATGAGATGGTTAGTGAACCACTTACCCTTTTGAATAGTTCATGATTCCTGGCTTCTAATATGAATATTTCTTGGAAGGCAAGTATATAATTGGACAGCATTAATACATAATGAAGAACTTTAGGAACAGGCCATTCATGCAGCATGGGAAATTACTGAGGTAGATCTTTGAAAAATACAGTGGTATGATTTTTAAATAAAAAACAGCAACATTTTGTTATCTAGATATAGAAAGCCAAGCTTTGTTTAAATTTGTTTAACAAATAAATAAATACCTCTCTCTGAAATATGATTGGTTCTATGCTCAGGAAAAAGTTAGCTCAGGCCTCAGGGTCAATTAGGCAGAATGAGGAGAATCAACATGAGGATGGAAATCATGATTTGGGAAGAAAGACTCTGGATTTGTTAAGCACTGGGAAAATTTAGGCACTGCCAAATCTGTAAAAAAGAGTTCACGTGTTAATCCAAATGGAGTCAAGACTACTAGCAATTATCAGTCACACTAGGCTACAATGAGGTTGATTTGCTTTGACTTAGTGTGATATGATGTTTGAACTTAGCCTTTATGATCAGTAAACCACAGTTTATGGTTTAGTGCTATGTATGGACTCAACTACTGTGGCTTATTCCACAAACTAATTTAACACAATGTGTAAACTCAGACTTGATCAAAAAGGTTGCAGAAAATTGTTTAAATGGACCACTGATGGAAAACCAAGTGCCGGGTTCTAGATGAGTCAACTCTAGAAAACAATAATGAAAAATATTTCTGATTATTCCTAGTTCACCAGAATTAGGGAAAAAATCCTAATATGGAGCTGGAGGAATGAGGATTATTTGCATGTTTAACACTCAGGAAGTTACATAAACCACAAATAACTCCTCTCTCACTTTTTTCTCAGTGGTAAGAGAACTAACAATTAGAGGCTGGAATGCCACAAAAAGATTAGATTAGATACAATATCTTTTCCTCAAAGTTCTTATAATTAATGAACCCCAATAAAATATTCTGTGTGATTAGAAAGTGGACAAGTCAGTCTACAAGCCTCTACAAGGCTTTCCACTCAGGCAATTTCCATATACAGAGAAGTGAAAGCAGGGTTCTCTCCCCTTTCCACTACAGCAAATTATATTTTTTCTGCAGCTCTTCAAAGCACAAAAATATCTACTGAACTTTAGGAAGATCTGGATCTAGACTGTTTCATCTCACACAGCCAACTAATCTCTGCAAAGTGGCCTGATTCATCTTTGGATTGAAGTCTCAGCTAAATCATATGCATATCCTTTAAGTCAATTCATGCCTGAACCAATTTTCTTAAGGAAGAGAGTTTCCGACTGTGGTAACTGAAGAGTTCAACACCTTACTGACAAGTTACATGTTTAAAATAGATCCCTATCCTTCTAAAGTTTTCTACTTTAGCAAGAATTGTTTCATATTATTTATTGTAATTTCCTCTCTATCTGTTGAAACATTATCTAATAGTTATTAGACATGGCAAATGTATGAGGAAGGTAGAGATGATTAATATTGGCCAGATTTAGTGACAGAAGTTTAGGCAAAACTTGCCATAATGAAGCAGGGAACCCCTTTTTTCCAGCCACAATGCCCTGTCTGTCCAGATGGAAGTGACAATATATTTACATGGATCATTCTGGTAAATTCTGTTAGGAATTTGGCTAATATCTTTGGGACAAAAATTAAAAGTAAAGATTCAGAAGTTGTTTTGCTGCATCTGGAATGTCAACATAAAGTATGCATGACACAGGGAGTGATGCATGAATCTATTGATAGCTTAATAATGAAGTAGAAGTGTCAAACTCTGACAGAATAGCATTGATTTCAGAGACATCAATCATGGACTTGACATCAATCTATGTTGTTACAGTAGGAGTGGCTGATCAGGGAAGAAAGGAGACATTCCTGGAGATCTGTGTTCCATTTCAGCAATCTTCTGCATGGATATTTGGCACGCATTTGAATGAGATTCACTGCAAAGCCAAACAATTTGCTTAATAACTGAGAATGAAAAGGACTCTTCAACTATAAAGTGCATGATTGCTCTTCCTTATGCTGTTTGTGACTTGATTAGTATTAATAAACAGGTCTTCTATATCCAGCTCTGAAACGATACAGGATGTATTTCTTGTTGTACTACTATTGTTTTTAGATTCATTAAATCTGCAGTGCCACTGTATAAAAAAAATTGTTTAGGGTCACCTGATCTGGTCTGCAAAAATCCCACTGACCACAAGAATGACAACAGGCACTGCCTTTTTGTATTTCTTTGCTGCCATTTAGTTATTGCCAAATTTCTTAAAGCCCAGATCTGGTAGCCCTACAGTACCTTGGAGTACAAAATTGGACCAAAAGGCAGATGGCAAAAGAATGGCAATAAGAGAATTTGTACAGCACTAACTATGTAGCCTCAAATATCATTTATGCCAGTGCAAAAGCCTGAAGGGAAGAAGCAAGGGCATCTGCTGGGGAGGAGTGGTGGTGTGGGTGTCACTATGGGAGCAAATGACAAAATGTGTAACACGATTACACAAATGCTATGGCTTACATACTCACATCAGAAATCAGGACATTTACACAATTGTCTCATCCTGCCTAGTTGAAAGTGAAAAATTGTTTGGAAAACAAACTATATTTTATCATCTCCTCTCTTATGTCCACACTATGATAATTTGAGCCTGGTCATTTGCACCTCTAGTGAGAACTCTGGGTGGATTTGTTCAATGATCCATTGCTTCATTTTCTTTGTTTTCTGTGGTATTCTCAGGAGTCTTCTCCAACACCAAAGTTCAAAGGTGTCAATACTCTTCCCATCTTGCTTCTTCAAAGTCCAACTTTTGCATGTCACAGAGAATACCATTGCTTGCACGACTTTTTAAAATAATTTAAAAATTAATTTTAATAATTGTATTAAACATTTTAAAAAGGAAGATGAAAACTAATGCAAACTAACATGAAGTAAGAAAAAGAAAAAGATGTCAAAGAGAAAACTAAAAGTGCAAGAAAGGAAAAAAAGTGAAAGAAAAATAGAAAAGAAAAAAGATACAAAGAAGTGTCTTCAAATCTTGTTTACAGCACTTGTAAGTACAATTATAAATTTACCTGTCTAAACTTACAACACATCCCTTCTTTCTATAATCTATCCTGTCTAATCATCAAAACCATAAATCATAAGTTCATTTTTTCTGCTTTCTGCAAAAAATCCATAAGGCATTTTCAGTCAGCAATAAACGTAGATATTGTCTTATCTCTAATCAAAGTCAAGTTGGCCATCTCAGCGAGTTCCATCATCTTCACCAATCATTCCTCCATTGTAGGTATTCTGATCTTTGTAGGTATAGATACATCACAGCATTTGAATATACCCAATTTTCATTTAGTGACTGAGTTCCATTCCAGCAACCAGGTCATTAAGCAGAACGATTGCTATGCGAATGTGACTGAGAGAGAGAGAGAGAGACACTGCAAAGATCATTAGTTGCTGCCATCTTATTCAGATAAAAGTTCTCTCGTGCAGCAATACCAGCGTTACTCTCATTTCAGTGTGCATTATCGAGCATATGAAATTTGGTCATAAATGTGTGCATTGGTCAGAAAATGATTTTTAAATTAGTTTATTACCATCATATTTGCAAATGGTCACTAATCAAGGTAGTCACTAAATGAGGAGTGGATGTATCTTTTCCAAGGCCTTCATGGCTGCTTTATCAAGTGCTAATCTGTGGCATATTTCTAGACTGCTTATTCCTTTACTGTTGATGGTTGACCCTAAAAGGCAGAAGCTATCCATCACTTCAATACCTTCTTTGCCAATTCTAAGGCTGGTTGTTCTATCTGTTGTCATTAGTTTGGTCTTCTTTATATTTA